ATGGGCTGAGAGAGATCAGGAGAAGACAGGTAGATTTGCGTGTCATCTGCATAGAAATGATAATGGAAGCCAAAGGAGCTGATGAGTTTACCAAGGGAGGCAGTATAGGTAGAGAACAGTAGGGGACCAAGGACAGAAGCTTGGGGGATGCCGACAGAGATTGGTTGGGGGAAGAGACAGAGTCAGAGAAAGAAACACTGAAAGGGCACTGGGAGAGGTAGGAGGAGCACCAGGAGAGAGCAGAATCCCGTAGACCAAAATTACAGAGAATGCAAAGAAGCTGTTGATAATCAACAGTGTCAAAGGCAGCAGAAAGATCAAGGAGAATTAGGATAGAGTAATGGCCGCGAGATTTAGCAGCGATTAAATCGTTGGATACTTTGGTCACAGCCGTTTCGACAAAATGACCAGGGCGGAATCCAGACTGAAGGGGGTCAAGCAGAGAGTTGGATTTGAGAAATTCAGTCAGTCTGATGGACACAACTCTCTCGAGGATTTTGGAGGCAAATGGCAATAGTGAGATAGGGCGATAGTTGGATTGGGAGTTGGGGTCAAGGCTGAGCTTATTCAGAATTGGGGTTACAGTTGCATGTTTGAAGGGAGAGGGAAATGTGCCAGAGGAAAGGGAGAGATTGAAGATTTTAGTGAGAGGAAGAGCAAGAGAGGGAGACAAAGTGCGGATGAGATGCGAGGGAATATGATCGAGGTAACAGATGGTGGGACGGGAGGACCGGAGCAGAGCACGAACCTCTTCTGCTGTAGCAGGTGTGAATGAGTGTAGAATGGTGGAGGGAGTGGAGTTGGGTGATGTATTGGTAGGGGAAAGAGAGAGATTAGCGATCTCTTCTCTGATTGTAGAGATCTTCTCAGTGAAGTGAGATGCAAAATTTGTGGCCGACAAGGTGGTAGAATGAGGGGGAGTAAAAGGGCGAAGAAGAGCATCAAAAGTGTGAAATAGGTGTTTGGATTGATGGGACAGTGTACTTATGAGGGTGTTAAAGTAAACCTAGACATTAAAATGTATTCTTATATCTTAGCTAATAGAATGAAATTGGCTATTTCTGATTTAATATTGGTTGATCAGCCTGGTTTTATCAGTGACAGAGATACAATGGATAATAAATGCAGAATACTTAATTTGATAATTAAGATTAAAGGGACACTATAGTCACCCAGACCATTTCAGCTCAATGAAGTGGTCTGGGTGCCAGGTCCCTCTAGGGTTAACCCTGCCTGCTGTAAACATAGCGCTTTCAGAGAAAATGATATGTTTACATTTGGGGTTAAGCCAGACTCTAGTGGCTGTCTTCTGGACAGCCACTAGAGGTAGATCTGCGACGCTGGAGGCCTATTATGCCTACATCACGCCGAGCGTCCATAGGAAAGCATTGAAACATGCTTTCCTATGTACACTTTGAATGCGCGCGCGCATGCGCATTCCGCTCAGCTGATGTTAGACGGGGGAGCTGACGTCGGCGGAGGAGGAGAGGTAAGGGAGCCCCGCGGTTGAAGAAGGTGAGTAACTTTTTTTTTTTTAACCCCTTTTTTAACCCCTTCATCACCACAGGAGGGGGATCCTGGGGGTGGGGGCACCCTTAGGGTACTATAATGTCAGGAAAACTGATCTGTTTTCCTGACACTATAGTGATCCTTTAATCTTATGAACTCAGAAATGGTTATCTTAGCCCTTAATGCTGAAAAAGCATTCAACAGAGTTAATTGGAGATTTTTAGAAAGAGTATTAAATAAAATCAGTTTTGTAGATACCTTTAAAGATAAAATCATGTCACTATATACTGACCCTTCTGCAAAAATTATAAATCCATTTTTTTTAATCACTCCCATTTTCAATAAACAATGGTACGAGGCAGGGATGTCCATTGACTTCATTATTATATGTTTTATCTATTGAGCCATTGGCTATTCTTATTAGGGAAAATAAAAATATCTATGGGATCAAAACAATTGAATGAGATTACAAAATTTACCTATTTGCTGATGATGTGCTTCTGTCCTTCTTGAAACCTTTAATTTCTATTGCAGAGGTGTTTAAGGAAATTGAAATATCTGTGCTGAATTATTTACCAATTGGAATTTGGTGTATAGTGAATAATTAGGAATTAAATTATCTTTTAATATTCAGGATATTATACATAAGAACTATGGGGATATTTATACCTTAATTGATAAGTAAATGAACTAGTGGAGCAACATTGAGATTTCCTGGCTGGGATGTTTAAATATAGTTAACGCTTATTCAATTCTGAAATTGTTATATTTATTTAGGTCCTTACCTTTTAGATTAGGCAAGGATAAGATTTTACAATTCCAAAGTTTATTTTCAAACTTTATTTGGGAAAATATACACCCAAGAATTTCTCAGAAGAACCTACAAAACAATTATGATAAGGGTGGCATTTCATTTCCTGATATCGCAAAGTTACACCAAACATGTCTAATTGCAAATACAATGAGATGGAATAAACTTTGCCACTGGTTTTTGGAGGGGCCTGTGGCCAGCCTCTTATCCTGGGACTATGGGCCCTGTGACTATTAACTGGAACAGATTCAAACATGTGGCGGTGGCCATCTTAAATTGTCCAGCAGTGTTTTGTTGTCGAGTGTATGGAACTGTTTTGGGCATGGGACCATGTGCACGGTGGGGCAAAAATAAGACTTCCGATCTGGGTGATTTTTGGATATGTTGTTCACCCGGATCAGGGCTATCAGGGAATGTGACTTTGTGGTGATATGTTGTATTTTGGGGTACTTTTTGGGGTTTGTAAAAATGTATGTTTTTTCTGTTTACAGGTAATTGAGTTAGCCCATTGTCTTTGTTAATTGTATCATAGGCAGAGGGGAGGGATCGTGTGCTGTAAGTGGGAGTGTCGGACATTGTTGTATTGTTCTGATTGGTTTGTGTCCTTTGTGTGCCTGTGTTCCATCAGGTCCAGGAGGTGTGCCTCTGGCCTGAGGAATTGTATATAAGCAAACCTGTACCAATAAAGTCTCAGACTTGTTCTACCCTTCATGAAGTTTTGGCTCATGTTTGGGGGATTAGAGAACTACCTACACTTTGGGGATTGCTATAATCACTATACTCCCCAGAGTATAATCACTAGCTCTTATAAGAGCTGTTCCTATTCCTGCTCTCTGGACTAAGAGAGGTCTACCTACTGGAAGCTGGATCCTGGTCTTGGGTCCAGAGTGGGTGGAAGACGGTGAGACCCCAACCAAGCTGCGGCAGTTCGTGGGGTCTGCGGTGGGTATGGTATCTAGTGGAGTGCTTGGAGCCCTCGGGAAGCACTAGGAGCATTCATCAATGGAGGTACCCAGTCGGGGTGCCATGCTATCAATTAAACAAATTTGAACTCTCTCTGTACTAGACTTATACGCATTTATTATGCTGAACTGTAATGAAATATTGGATTTATGTGTGTTTTTCTCTGTCTTTGGCAATGCTGATAATAAAATAAACATGAATTTAAAAAAAAAAAAAATAGAAAGAGGGAAATACACTTGTGACTGAGGAAGCCAGCAAGGCAAAATGTGTTTTGGAGAGTTACCACTTTTTCTAATATTGTTTTATTTTCATTTGTTTGTATAATTAATAAATGTTTTAATAAAGGCCATTTGAGAAGAAGAATACACAAATGGAATCCCATGCTATCACAGTGTAGAGCAAACTATATTTCACTCAGAACATGTGATCAACATTTAGTTGATAGCATACTTATCAGAATTATGCTATGGGAACTTTTTTATTTTACTGTGGCGATAAATACTTCTGATATCCACAGAGAGAGCAATCATCTAAGCCATGTGCATTTACTGGCTCTATTTTTGTGAATTTCAACTTCACTTTTTATTTGCCTGCACTATTATTTTTTACATTCTTGTATGTAGATTAATCCAAGAACCACTCTCCATTATACTCAAGTTATATGCCATTGATTGTTTCACCTTCTTGTATGATTTATGTAAATATTGGGTGAGGTGTTTTTAAGAGCTCCCATACAGATGTTTAGAGCAATTTTTAAACTATTTGTCTCACGGAAGGGCTACACATAAACTGTTATTGTGAAATAAATATAAATAGTTATGAGTGGAGGCAAACAGGGTTAGCTTACTGCAATGTTTCTTATCATTATTAAATTTAACTTTGCAGTGTTAACTGTAAGAGATGTAGGCACTTATTTAAAGTGCAGATCAGCACCATTGTCTGACTTATTTATTTCACAGTGGGTGCACAGTATGTATTACTTGAATCTCAATGCATTCTAATTAGATAGTTCTATATTTAGGCCATTGTTTCTTTTCTTTATTTGTTACAATAAATGTGTATGAACCTGGGGACTTCGTTTTTCTTTTAACTACTTTTGTATGTCTAAAGATTTTTCAATCTAAAGCATCTTCTAACTCCTCTAACTCTGTGGATAAAAAAAGACTTTGAATGAGCCATTACAAAATACTTTTCCCATGTCTTTTCACTCAATTTAGGACATACTAGTCTATTTCTAGAGTATGAATTGTCTATTAGACTTTTAGAACAAAACAGTAAAACAGGGTCATTGAGTATGCCAGTTCTGTGTTTACTGAGTTCAAATAGTCCTTTTTTTAGCATTTTAAGTGTTGTCGATGTAACTATGTGCTGCACACTTGTTCACATCAGTGTACACTTGAACTGATCACCTTGTAATTAATGTCTATGAAATATATTTGTCATGGGGTGTGGCTTGCCGAGAAACAACCCAGATGTGTCTGTGTGGAGCTCCACTGGAGCCCCACAAACCAGTAACTAAAACTGCAGAAAAATGTACTGACCGAGTGCAACCTATACACTACCCCACAGCTGAACCTATGGGGTGCAAGCACAAACGGTTCTTTCTACAGGAGAGATCCTCACTCCCCGACATCAGGCTTTCCTTTGAGACGCCTGTTCCGCCGACACCAGCCCAACCTCCATAGAGACTCTGAGGCCTCAGAGGAATCACAGGAAGATGAAGAAACCAGTGCCTTGCCTCCCTCTAGCGGTGCGTACCGCCCAACACACAGCAGCTGGAAACCCTCACCAAACAAGTCAGGCAGCTACAGAAGTCGGTGGTTTCATCAGGGATTCACCACAGACGCAGAAATATACACCTGCGTGGCATACCCAAAAGGGTTAGAGATGAAGACTTACTACACTTTGTCCAAAAAATGACAGCTCCCATGGGCTTTAAATGTGGCAGTGATACCACACTCATAATGTCTGCCTACCTGGTGCGCAAGTCAGCAATGGAGCCCTAGGAAGCCTCAAGAGATGCCATTGCCCCCTCTAGAGACATAGCAGTACGAATCACCATTATGAGTAAGTCCAGGTCCGTAGGAACAGTGAAATTTGATGACTGTACTATTTCCATCTACAACGATCTCCCCTTCTCGGTCCTAGTGGAAAGGAGGAAGCTAACACCGGTTACAAGGACCCTAAGAGACCACTGCATCAAATACAGATGGGACAACGATGGATCTCTGGTAATCTCACATAGACAAGAGTCACTCATCTTCTCCTCAGCAGACAACCCAGAGTCTCTGGCCAAGACGCCGGGCATATAAGTTAACCCTACAGGGGAAAAAACAACACAAGGGATCTCTACATTAGAGGTGGATGCAGGGGATGGAATTAGTGAGAGAGGCACAAAGAAGTGAACGGAACAGCCGACCCATTCGAAAAAATCTTAATAACTACTAGCCATTTGTGATGTTGATGTGATCACAATTCCACCTTTCCAACACTCTTGGCATTTTATGTTCAATCATAAATGACTCAATGCTTTAGATTAATGGTCATCACAACCATAGCAAATTTTACTTACTTTGATTTCTGATCATCAACAGCTTCTTCACATTCTCCGTAACTTTGGTCTACGGGATACTGCTCTCTCCTGGTGCTCCTCCTACCTCTCCCAGCGCTCTTTCAGTGTTTCTTTCTCTAGCTCTGCCTCTTCTCCCCAGCCCCTCTCTGTCAGCATCCCCCAAGGTTCTGTTCTCGGCCCCCTACTGTTCTCTATCTATACTGCCTCCCTTGGTAAACTCATCAGCACCTTTGGCTTCCAATATCATTTATATGCAGATGACACGCAAATCTACTTGTCCTCCCCTGATCTCTCTCCGCCCACCTTGACTGGTGTTTCTGACTGCCTCTCTACTATTTCCAACTGGATGGCTGCTCACTTCCTTAAACTCAATCTGTCCGAAACAGAACTTCTAGTTTTTCCTCCCTCAAGTGCTGCTACTCCTGTATCTGTCTCCATCCAAGTCAACGGCGCTACTATCACCTCTACCTCGCAGGCTCGCTGCCTAGGGGTTCTTTTTGATTCTGATCTCTCTTTTACTCCCCATGTCCAATCGATAGCCAAATCCTGTCGCTTCCAACTCAAGAACATAGAGCGCATCAGCTCATATCTAACGCCGGACGCGGCTAAGGTACTGGTTCATGCTGTTGTTCTCTCTCGCCTTGACTACTGCAAACCCCTTCTCACCGGTCTTACATGTTCCCAGCTTGCACCGCTGCAATCTATAATGAATTATTTTCCTGTCAGGTCGCACCTCCCATGCCTCCATGCTCTGTCAGTCCCTGCATTGGCTTCCAGTTAGATATAGGGCCCAATTCAAAATTCTGGGGCTTGCTTACAAATCCCTACATAACGCTGCTCCAACATACCTATCCTCCCTCATACACAAGTATGTCCGGTTGAGACCCCTGCGCTCAGCCCAAGAGCTACGCCTATCCTCTGCCCGGATCCCCACCTCTGATGCTCGCCTTCAAGACTTCTCCAGGGCTGCACCTATTCTGTGGAACTCCTTTCCCTCCTCAATCAGACTTTCACCCAGCCTCCACTCCTTCAAAAAATCTTTAAAAAACTCACTTCTTCATTAAAGCATATCAATTAAACTGTCAGCAGGTTTCTCATCCCCCACCCCATGACTCCTTTCCTGCAACTGTCAAAAATGACCTACCAAGCACTCAATAAACCCTTCTCTAACAAACTATGTAATTCCCCTACTTTAACCCTTTGTGCCACTATACCCCACTAGCATGTAAGCTCATTGAGCAGGGCCCTCAACCCCCTCTGTTCCTGTATGTCCAGTGGTCTGATCTCAATTATGTGTCTGTGAGTCCACACATTGTACAGCGCTACGGAATTTGTTGGCGCTATATAAATAATAATAATAATAATAATAATTTAGTCTAAATGGCGATTAAGCAGAATTTTGCTTGATTGACAATTCCGTTGAATTCCATAAAAAGATGGGGTGGGTGGAATGGAGTAGAAGTTGTTTTTTGTTTTAGAGGGTGCAAATAAGCAACTTAGTTTGTCATGTTGGACAAGAGGTATTCCCAATGATGTGGGTTGTATCTCCTGTTTAACTAAGAGGTGGAAAAAAGATTGATGGTTAAGGAACAGGCACTGAATGCTTATTTTATTCACAGATCAAGTGAGAAGTGACAAATATAGGAAAAAAGAGGAACAGCAAAAAAATAAAATCAATAATAATAAATAAATAAAAATCTATATTATTATAAGCTCCTTCTAGAAGCCACTTTGACTTCAGCTATTGAAAGAGGCAGACCAGCTGAAAGTCACTGGTTTTACCATTGATGTGCCTTTGTGAGAGTGGGAGAAAGCCTGTGTCATTGATCCTATTGTGAGACTGGTGATGTGATTAAGTTACTTATATACTTAGACACTGCCACAAACACAAACTCCATTTTGTTGATTTAAAATTATTTTACTGCACTGTGCTTCAATGTCACTACTTCTGCTTAGCAACTTGCAATACAGATTGTGCACAAAAGAATGCTGCCTGCAATAAATGTGGCAGGTATTTATTTTCAACTCTTTTTTACTGAGTGACCAGTGCTGCACCAGCAGTAGTTTTAATGAAGCACGGCACTACCTCACTGAAGATAAAATGCTTTTTATTTAAATTATTTTGAGAAACAATCAAAAAGACAGTTTGTTTGATTTGCAGCTGCACTGTTCTTCAGTGCCACAACTTGTGCATTACAAATTGCAATACAGTGTGTAGTAGTTTACAGCCCAAGTGTATACTGCACTGACTATGGCAGGAATTTATTTAACACTTTGTAGAAGGATATTTTCTCCCTATGTTTTCACTAGCGTGGTGCAGCAGCAGTGGTATTGTAGACCCTTCCTCCAGGGTTATTAACCAGCCTGGATGAGGCTGGTGTGATATAAGCGTTCCACTTTTATTTATAATATAGCCCCTATTGACTGATCATTTATTAGTCCATTAATTTTTCCAACTTATGGCAGGGGGTTTACTAGGATCACACCATCCGACCACACAGGTAAGGGGAATAGGCCTGGCCCCTTACTTGAATTGATGATCTGGAGAAGCAAATTGCAACATTTAGGCAGACTGACCATCATGAAAGGTGTCTGCTACTAAATGAGCAGAGTTTAATGGGGGGCATGTAGCAGAGTGGAAGGAAATAAGACAGCTGTATAACAGGCAAGACTTGGGTGACAGTTAACCATTATGGGAGAGTAATTCTATTTCCCTAGCAAATTTGCTCGTTTGAGTGAAGATGTTGGGAGCAACAGTTCATTAGTAGCTGAGGAAGTTGTTCCTTCTAACAGCCTAGGGGGCAGCACTCCCCCACCCTTCCGGTCCTCTTCTCGTACTGCTCCCATATGTCATATGTGTTTTTGTTAGAATCCATACGCACATACTACATACATCCATATGCATGTCTGAAACTTTCACTGTAAGTAAAATATTTTTTTAAATAAAATATAGAATTATATTAATAAGTATTAGAAATAGAACTGATTACACACACATTCACTGACATATATACACAATGTCACTTACACACTGTCACTAACATACACTCTTTTGCTGACATACACACACGTCACTCACACCAGTTTACATATAGTCATAGTTTATTAAAACACACACCCACAAACAAATTTAACACACCAATTTTCAAACATACACATAATAACCAGCCCCCTCATCCTCCAGATATTCCATACCTGTGCTAGTGCTGTGACTGGAAGAGAAGTGGTCCAGGCTTCAACCTGCAGGTAGCTGAGTAGGTAATTTGCAGCAACATTGAGGCAGAGAGTGCACAGTATATGGCTGCACTGGGAGGGTAGCTAAACTGCCACTCACCCAGTGCTACTAAGGGTTAGTACGTGTGTTAGGGTTTATAAAGATGACCCTTTCTGTCGCTCTATAATTTTTGTATTTTAGCTAAAACTAGCAAGGGTAATTGTGGGCAGAGGAGTTTGCACTTTAATGGCTATTGGAGTGGTACTAAAAAATCTTTATTTAAATGTTCATATGGGTTTGAGGATAGTATACATGTAACTTAGAGTTTGTTCTATGACACTGTCCTTGCCAAAAAACAGCTTAAATATTTTTTACAATTTCATTTAACAAAATTTTTGTAAAGACAGTTTATTCCCCTGTAAATGTTTTAGAAGAACATCTTCCAAAAATACTGAATTAATCTGTCAATATTTAAACGAAACAAAAATAATAAATGGGGAAAAGTTTTCAAACAATGACACCTAGTGTTCATGTTGTAGAATTACAGATAAAAATAAGAAATCTGTACAAATTCTCACATTGTACGAACTTTATCCACCCTGTAAAAATTGTTTCTGATAATACATAACGATAAGATAATAACAAATTCTGTAACCAGATTTCTTTAGCTCAAGATAGTGTTTTATGTTAAAAATGGTTCTGTTGTTTTTGGGAAAAAAAGCAAGAGTCAGTCATTCAAGTTTGACATACAGCACATGGGAGGGCTAAATTATGCATTGGTGATGGATGACTATATAGTTGCTGTTATGTTAGAGCAAAAACTTGCTTATTTATCTGTCCTTATGTTGCAAGCAATATTTTTCACATGAATATTTATTTGAGTTTGTAATGACAGTCTACACATTTTTGTTTCTTCTTACATTTTCCCAATGCAATTAGAAATGACAAATTGCGTTTTGCTCTTTGTAAACTTAATTCTGTAATAATATGAAAAATGTATTCACAATTTTGGGAAATTAAAACTGAATTTCAAAATGTAGGCTACTATAGTGAATCTGATTCAGCTACATTCATACCTTGGGTATTTTAGCCAGATGTTTGCAGTTCAATTTTCAATTCATTGCAATTCACTATTTAGTGAATAAGCTCTTAGGATATTTTATTTGTTTGTAGAGTGTGAATTTCCCTGTAATTACTAATTATTGTCAAATAAGTAATACAAAAATAAATTACTGTTTTTCCAACAAAAGTCCCACTCGAAAGGTGTAAATCTATATTTTATATTTGTATTATTTGAGCTATATTTCATTTTATATTAAATACCAATACAATACTCCATCAGGTATTAGGCTTGAAAGAGCAAAAATAACACACTTCAGTCATTGCTGGCAATCTTCACTGTTTCAGGCAGTTCACACTTCACTTCTAGTGCTGTAAAAATCCATTGTTTTTGGACATATATATTTGTTCATATCTGTAGAAGGGACTCAAAAATGTGAGTATCTTGAGGTACAAAGCAGTTAGTGACTGGCAATGTCCAGAAGAGCCCGCATGATACCTACTAGAGCTTGGTAACTATCTGACGGGGTAAAATAATATATTCTTTGTAATGCCAATTACTTTTACCTTTAGAGAAGCAAAAGTGAAAAATTAATAGAAAACTTACATTTTAACACAGAATATTATTTGAATATTTTAAATGGTTGAAAAAGAACACTCTGGGTGTCAAGTGGTAAATCAACACATATAACCAAAAATAAGTTGTAAATGTGCAAAAATAAAAACTTGAATTAACAAAATTAATCATTATAATTCATACATGTAAACTGCACAGCCCCATTTCATTGCAATGTTATTTCTATACGTACATATGATCCATTTAATTGTTTTACCCCCCCCTTATGGCACTACACTTTGGTCATCAAGTTGCTGACTATAATGGGAGCTCAGTTCAGCAAGTGTTCTTGAAAGTGAATTGGTTGAATAAGTTCCTCTTCCTAATTAGCAACCTACAACTCAATCATTTATTGTGCTGATATAAATAAAAGATCTTTGATTAGCATTTTTATTGTACTTGCTGTGTCCCACCCATGTTCCATTCACTAAATGTTTAACCAATAATAATGAAGAATATGCTCTACTATTGAAATATTTTATATAAAAGTCCAATCAATTTCAGAGATATTCAGATGTCTTTACACACCTTATTTTTTTTTCTACCAACTCATATCAACTAATATAATTCTGCATACATATTTCTAAGTACATGTTTAAAGAAATTGTCAATCTCAAAGAAAACACAGTATACATATTATTTTTTTATTTTTTAAAATGCAGTCAGTAATGAAGATCAATTTGCCAATATTATTGCTTGGCAAATCACATTTGAAATCCATATATTTAAATTGTATTACAAATTATCACACTTCTACTACTGATTGCATTACATTGCCAAGAAGAGCATTACCTTTTGATTCTCTGCCAGGTCCTGTTGATTTTCCTGGAATAGGAAGCCTCTTCAATATCATTTTGAATGGAGGTTTAAAAAACCAACATGAAGTTATGGTAAGTTAATACACTTTCCTAATTTAAAAAAAATGTAAGTATTGCAACTGGTCTTAATTTCACTGAAAATGTAAAAAAAAAAAAAAAAAGCCAAAGGTGAATACAGAAATTATGAGATATTCTTTCATGTGTTAAATTGCATTTGCTCAGTGATGTACTTTTATTTTTATTTTTTTAAGTAAACTTCACTGTCATTTTCTCCATGTTTAGTACAAATATCATCAGAAATATGGAAAAATATTTAAGATGAATCTTGGATTTTTTAAGTCTGTACAAATTGGAGATCCTACCTTATTAGAAATATTTCTAAGAACAGAATGTTTCTACCCAAAACGAATGGAGATAAAACCTTGGAAAATGTATAGAGATTACAGAGGAGAATCCTGTGGTTTGCTTACACTGTAAGTATATCAGTAATTTAAAGTAAATATAAATTCTCAGAGTTAAATATTGAGACTGATTTTTATAGCATTTTAATATAACTTGTGGAAATTGCAAATATGCTATCCTGTAGAAAATGAAACAGAAATAAATGATTAATTAATGTAATTTCACAGTTTACATATTGCATATACTAATTAATAGACCATATCAATAGTATATGGACCTAGTTTACTGTTAAAAACCTGGATTAGTGAAAAAATACATACATGAGAGTTCTTATATTTCATAGTTCAAATGGTTGTTGCTTACAGCTTAACTTCTTTATCCTTATTATATACATAAGTAGTAATCCAGTTTTCACCTAACCTTCTAGCTATATACTTTTTGTATTCCATGTTTCTGTTTAATTATTATTTTATTATCAGTACTGCATTACAATACCATCTATGATGCCATCCTAGATTTTACTGTATAAAATAACATTAATATTTTTTTTCCACCAAATCATTAACAAAAACTATTCACACACTAACTCCCTAATACCTAGCATATCATATTATTGTTCTAACCACACAACTACCTATTATTATACATTTAATCTCCAAAGACATAAGGCATACATACGACATGGGCATGTGAAACAATTGGTTGGTTTTCAGTTTTGTTTCATTTTGATAATACCAGAATAAGGTTCAACAAAATTGGGCAATTATCAATTCAAAATCAATAAAAATGTGCCGAAAAGTTTCAGAAACATTAGAAATTTTGACCTCCAATATTCCATTTAGAATGCTGTTTAGAAGAAAGCCACCCTAATTTGGTACCCTTAAATGGCTTTGCCTATTTAGGGTTACCTAATTAGGGTTTGTTTAGCAGATATCTCTCCTAATTTGTTACCCTTTCGTGGGATTGTTTATTTAAGGATACCAAACCAGGGCACTGTCTAGTAGATATCTGCCATAATTTGGTACCTATCTGTGGAATTGACTATTTAGGGAATTGCAAATTAGGGTGCTGTTTCATAGATATTTTCCCTAATTCAGTACCCTAGTTGCCTATTAAGTATATTAAATTAGGTTGCTGTTCAGTAGATATCTGAACTATTTTGGTATCCTTCTGTCAAATTGCTTGTTTAAGGATGCCAACGTAGGGTGCTGTTTCACAGTTAGCTCCTGTTATTTGGTATCCTTATGTGTGCCTGCTTAACTGTCTATTTAGAGATACCAAATTAGGTTGTTGTTTTGCAAATCGCTCCCCTAATTGGTTACCCTTCTGTGAGATTGTCTATTTAGGGATACTAAATAAGGGTGCTGTTTAGTAGTTATCTTTGTAATTTGGTACCCTTTTGTGGGATTTTTATATTAAGGACACCAATTTAGGAAGCTACACTGCATACATAGTTAAATAACAGTGTATATGACTGTGTGGGTGCATGGGAAAATAAGTGTGCACTGATGGTTAAAATTACAGTGTATGTGACTGTATGCAGTGGCATACACACCGTGGCCAGAGGACCCGGCTGCCCTGCGGACCCCTGCGACCAGGTACATGCCGCCATCTTTTGCAGACCGCCGGGGCTGACGTCCAAGGGTTCCATCAGGTGGCCCATGCTGTTAGGGCCACCCGATAGGTATGGATTGTCAGGGGGCCAGGTCAGCAGGCCCCCTGTGATGAGATCACTGCTGGGAGGAAGTGACTGCCCCATTCACTCCTCCCAGCTATCAGAGAGCTAGGCGGGAGGAAGCAGAGGAGGGAGTCAGAGTGGGAACTCTGACTCCCACCAGCCTGAGCCACCACTGGACCCCAGGGAAAGACACCATCCTGCACCTAAAAGGTAGGAAATAGGAGGGTGACTTAAACATTTTGTGTGTGTGTGGCGGAACCAGCCTCGCCACTGGGCATTGGAGAAGACTGATTGCCAGCCTCCTGCCCTGTGACTATGGCCCCTGAAATGTATTGCCCTTTAAGAAACTTATTTGGGCTTATTGGATTTTGAAACACTTTTTCTGCCCCTTTGAATACGTGGGAAGGTGTGCCCCCCCCCCCCCTTTTGCTTTCTATTGCTCTCCAGCAGGGCGTTGTCCCAGGGATACTGCCAAACCAGTTGGAACTTGCTTTTTGCCCCTCCTCTGTCTCTCATCAGCCCTTGCTATGGTTTAACCCCATGGTGATTTGACTATGTTCGTGGCATCTGAGCGCTGTTCGGATATAGTGAGTGCTCAGATCCAAGATATCTGGAGATGTGGGGGTTCTTTTCAGTATGATAGGAATTATGTATTTTTTATGTGTTTTTACTGTTGTTGTAAATAGAGATATTTTCTGTATGCTGGAGATAATTGGCTTACCACACCCAAGCCATGCTTGCAGTTGGTCAAAAAGGGACTTCTAACTAACTTTTGATCCACAGGACCAATTTGTATGATTTTGACATATGTTTGTATTTGGAGTATGCTGATTCTGAAAATGTAAGTATGTGAATGTGAGGTATACTTTTAGAGTTATGAATATTGTGTAAAACTGTGTATTTTCCTGCCTGTGATAATTATGTTAGCTCATTGTGTTCAGTAATTATATCACAGGCAGAGGGGAGGAGTTCTATTGTGTATGTGGGAGTGATATTTTGTTAAGTAATGTTCCCATTGGTTTGTGTCCCTTTTGTCAGTTTACCACCAGGTCCAGGGGGTGTGCCTCTGGCCTGAAAACTTGCATAAAAGAAAGCACTTTGGTGCTGATTAAAACAGTTCTACTTCACCCTCAATTTGGAGTCCTGTCTCTTATTGGGGGAATCTGCTACAAGAGATTGCTATGTTCTGCATATTCCCTTGCTATAATCACTCCTAAGCTCTTTTAAGAGCTTATTCCTGTCGTGCACTCTGAAGGAGTCTACGGTGGTTATGGCTGGAGTGCTTGGAGACCTCAGGAAGTGCTAGGAGCATCCTTCAACGGAGGTACCCAGTCGGGGTGCCAGGTGATCCGTTACAGTGTGTTTGTTTGTATGTGTATATGTATCTTTGTTTGTGTGTGTGTGTGTTTCTGTCTGTATGTATGTGTCTGTGTATGTGTCTGTCTGTATGTATGTGTGCCTGTCTGTATGTATTTATGTGTCTTTGTATGTATGTGTGTCGTGTGTGTGCCTTTCTGTATGTATGTGTCTGTCTGTATGTGTGTGTGTATGTCTGTCTGTGTGTATGTATGTATGTATGTGTGCCTGTCTGTTTGTATGTGTGTGTGTCTTGTGTGTGTGTGTGTGTGTGTGTATCTATGTGTGTATGTGTCTGTATGTATCTGTCTGTATGTGTGTGTCTCTATATATGTATGTATGTGTGTGTGTGTGTGTGTCTGTCGGGGGTGGGGAGTGGGGGGGAGAGGGAGGTGGGGGCCGCAGATCAGTTTTGAACTGGGGCCCCATGGTTTGTGTGTACGCCACTGACAGTATGCACGCATGGGTAAATGACAGTGTATGATTGTGTGCATGTTTGAGCAACTAGCAGTTTAAAATACTGTGTATGTGTGCAAGTAGGGCAAATTAGTGTGAACACACTTATGCATTCTGCTTTCCCTGTTGAGTCTCCTAAGTGATTCTCAGCTTGGAGTTAAAGCAGCCAAGTGATCAAGACACACAGGAAATATGATTATGTTATATTCAATGCATCTCTATATTCAAGCTTCTTTCTCTTCCAACTCACTCCTGGACTACCTAAGCAAAGTGGGCAGAGAAAGCAGTATGGCATCCATAGTCCAACAAAGCAAAATGCATAACATGAGGTAGTGCTGGTTATATCGGCAATTTCATACAAACTTAATATTTATTAAACACAATTATTTAAAACATCCAGTAACACTGGAAAAACCTGGGTATCCAGACAATATTGCACTTGCCAAACAGTAATGCCATGGAGACCTCTCTATGCCAAAGCAGCCATTCCTCTCATATGGTTTGAAGAAAAGTTATTATTATTTCCTTGAAGCCTGCTGTTTCCTACTACTGGATCCTTTAGTGGAACCCTCTGTGGACCAATAAGCACTGATTGTAGGACACCTATCTTGCTTAAGTTGCAATGCTCTATATAAGTATTTATAGATGCTGCAGGACTACAAGTCTCACAAAAATTAAAGATTAGCTGCAGTGTACCAGCATATTATGATGAGTTAGAGTTCATTCCAGAATATACCAGGAAAATCTGTGTAAAATCATCTGCCCCAAGCATGTCAAACTCAAAGGCTAACATGGGCCAAATAAACAAGGTTTAATTTTATATGGGCCGCATGGACCACTCTAATACAATGGCCCCCCTCCCTCTCCCAATTTAATACACTGGCCCCCTTCTTCTTTGAAATAAATACACTGTCCCCTCCCTCTCTCAAATCAATACACTGCCCCACTTTAAATTTAGCACACTACACAGGAAGGTAACACAAGCCCATCTTCCCCTTCCTCAAGTACTGCGAGCAGGAGGGAAGGGAAGACTTTCCTCTGGCACTGCGAGCAGGAGGGAAGGGGAGATGCTGGCCTGCTCTGCAGACAGACAGACACTCTGTTCTCTTGTGGCCATGGGAGGGAAGGCAAGAATCAGACAGGAAATATCTTTGATTGGTCTACACGTTTCGTACCATCAGGGACTGACAGGGTCCTCTGCTTATATAAGGAGCTACTAATTGAGTCCACAAGATTAAAGGCAAAGCTTGCCTATTAGGTTTTGCAATTGAAGGCACACTGTTAGATTGCAATTTAGTTTGTAACAGTGTAGCAACATCTGTTCACAGACATTAAACAAATACATGAATAAAAAATACAATCAATACAGTGACAGAACTACTGCAGGTGAAGCTGCACTGGGGCCTGTTGCTCATGGAGCCATCGTGTGGCCCATGCACTTAGGGCTACCCAATAGTAAAGTGCTTTCATGGGCCCGGTCATGCACTGCATCCTCCAGTGTATCTATCTGTCTGACTGTACGTGTGTCTGTGTATCTCTCTGTGTGTCTGTATGTGTGTCAGGGTATTTATCTGTCATGGAGGCTGGGGGATGAAAACCTGCTAACAGTTTAATTGATATGCTTTCTTGAAGAAGTGAGTTTTTAATGATTTTTTTGAATGAGTGGAGACTGGGTGAAATTCTTACGGAGAAGGGAAGGGAGTTCCACAGAAGAGGTGCAGCCCTGGAAAAGTCTTGGAGGCGATCATTAGAGGTGGGAGTATGTATATCTTTATGTGCATACATCTCAGCTTTCAAACTCCAACAGTACACACAAAAACACCCATGTATTCAAATGTCAATACTACATAAAAATACACATCTGCATTAGAACACCAACATTATTATATAAACAAACACATTTAAAAAGCAACACTACATACAAACACATAATTTCATTCAAATGCAAAGTCTACATCCCAACACACCCCTACAATCACACACATATACTCCATAAAAAGGTTTTTACATTTAAGCATGCAAACACTGCTCAGTGGTAAATACAATCTTGCAAGAATGGGCAAATGGTAGATCCCAACATGGCAAAGCATTGACAAATGGGGATCTACTTTTTTTCCATTCTTGGGATAGGTGACCCTAAAATAATTTTTGCACCAGGGCCTTATCTGCTTTAGTTCCACCACTGAATGAATAAAAATGGATACAAACTACTACATATAATACATGATTAAGGCCTCACGGCCGAAGCGTCATATCTTTGTTTTGTCTCCTGAACCATAATTAAATATACTTTATTCTTCACCCTGCACTGTGTAGCCTGTGGCTCTGGATTTATATCTGGGACTAGCAGACCTCCCCCACAGAGCTCTGGTGTATCAAGATACTAGTGTGCTGCACTCAACTACCTGGTTGGATACTGTATATAATGGTTCCAAGCAACATTACTTGAATAACATAAGAATCATATATATATATATATATATATATATATATATATATATATATATATATATATATATATATAGGATTCTAAGCTCTCCCCTAATAAGGGTAAGTGTAAGGCTGGGACTAAGTTCATATTCACATACTACAGTGTGATACAAATAAAAATAAATGTACAACTAAAATGCTTATATACAGATACCAGGAATTCTATTGTTATTGGAAAGGTACATGGGAGAGAGGGGATGAGAAAACCAGGAACAGACGGGCAGCTAAATAATTGAAAAATCCATTATTTAATAGAAAGGGATACTATAGTCACCAGAACAACTACAGCTTAATGTATTTGTTCTGGTGTGTATAGTATGCCCGTGCATTCTTTTTAATGTAAACATTGCAATGGAGGTGCTTTCTGGGTCAGTGCGGCACAATGTGCAGCACTGACATTCAGCGTCTCCACGCTCTGCATGGAGGCACTGAATGTTCCGCATAGTAATTAATTGATTTAAAGCATCTCTATGATGAGATGCTGACTGGCGCAGTGCAGTAGCATGAGCAATAACCTCCTAATGCTTCCCCATGGAGCCAGGCACAGCAGACCTGCACGGCGCTGGAGTAAAGGTAAGTTTTAATCTTCTTTAATTGGAGGTAATGGAGAGCCGGACACCTAAATTGTGTTCTAACACTGTGTTCATGCTTGTATTCCTGACACAATAGTGTTCCTATAGTACCCATCCTACAAGCTCAGTTTGCTATTCTTATTGCAAGGCAAACTACATATATGGCTCGATTTATTAGTGCATGTAGAAACAAGGATAAGCAAAAAAAAGATGAATGCTTGCATTTCTTTTAAGATATGTGAGCTTTTCTCATCTGACTTGCAGTATTGGAAAGTAGAGTAAATGTACAAAAATTATACATTTTCTCATGTAAGCCTTTAAAGTAGTGATGTTATTAGAAATGTTAATCAAAGGGAAACTAGTCAATTTAAAAGATTAGCAGCAGCCTGTAAAAGTAGTATATGATTTGGAACCAGTTGCTCTTTATATAAATAATCGGAGCTATTAACAATTGGCTACTGGCACAACATCCACTACTTGAAAAAAAAAAGGATTGATAGGTGTGACTGTAGTCACCATCACTGGGAGCAGAAGGACATTTTACAATTGTTCCTAAATAGCTCCTATGTCTACGTTACGCTGTGCCCATTTTAGGTGCAGTGTGTTTATAATGTTTGTGTAATGTAATTGTTTAGTGTTACATGTTAGTGTGCTCTCCTGTATCACTAATGCTTTCAATCAACTTGGTGGATTTGGCTGTGGAGCCTGTACAGTGCCACCTGTTGGTTGCAAGGATCTAGCAACCGCTGTATGCACTACCTGAATAGCAAGGATTGCTAATTTGCACATTCAGGTAGATTTGCATATTGCTATTTCTGCAGGCAGGAGATATATGTCATGCAAGTTATTGTCTTCCCCATCCCTTTATAAATATGTTATTATGCTATTATAATTTCCTGTATATTTTCGGACATGTTTTGGTTTTGTATTTTATTAAGTGTGTCGCAGAAAGCTTTATGTAATGAATGTAAGGGCTAGCCCCAAGTAAAATAAAGAATTGTAAGCTAGTTCTTTTTGCAACTTGTGTACTGTGTTGATTTCTAGGGATCCCAGTGACAGACTCTTCGGATTTGTTGGCTGGTTGCAGGATCACTCTAGCCCTGGGATAAATTAGAGAGCTAGGCCTGAGAGACGCAAATGCCTTTGTAAAGCAATAGCCAGGGCTGGATTAACATAGGGGCTGATGGAGCTGCAGCTCCAGGCATAGGCCCATTGATTTAAAAAAAAAATAATCTTTTTTTGTTTACACACACACTACTTTTAGGGTTGCCAGGTATTTCTCAGAAGTATTTCTTATGGTATTTCTCAGGTATTTGAGGCTGCCTAGCCATTGCCGGTATTGCAGTAATACCTGCAATACAAATGTCTGTCTTAGTATAAACAGAGATTATTCTGCAATACCAGCACCGGCCAGTAGGGGTCGCTGTTTGTGTGGAGAGAGGCAGGGATAAGAAGTTACAGCATCTCCCTCCCTGTCTCTCTCTACTCACTGATCCATGGGGGAGCAGCACAGAGAGTCCAGACAGCAGTTTCAAGCCTGCGAGACATGGGGTCAATGAGAGACTTGGGGACGCTGAGACATTTGGACACTGGGAGACATAGGGACCCTGAGACACTAGGGATACAGTGGTCCCATGTCTCCCAGTGGCCCCTAGTCTCTTAGTGTCCCAATGTCTCCCAGCCAGTGTCCCTGGTGTCTCTCAGTGTCCCTGATGTCTCCCAGTGTGCCTGGTGTCTCTCAGTGTCCCTAGTGTCTGTGTCCCTAGTCTCCCAGAGTGCACTAGTAACTCAGTGTCCCCATGTATCTCAGTGTCCCCATGTCTGACCCAGTGTCTCAGTGTCCCCAAGACTCACAGTGTCCCAATGTCTCTCAATGTCCCCTAGTGTCCAAGTGACATTGGGACACATGGAGACACAGACTTTAAGGGACACTGGGATACATGGGGACACAAACACTAGGGGACACTGGGAGATATGGGGATAATGAGACACTAGGGGACACTGAGAGACATGGAGACACAGGTCTCTCAGTGTTATTGGGCACTCTCAGTCTCCCCATGTCTCCCAGCCAGTGTCCCTAATATCTCAGTATCCCCATGTCTCTCAGTGTCCTCAGTGTCTCAGTGTCCTCAGTGTCCTCAGTGTCCCATAGTCTCTCAGAACCCCCTAGTCTCCCAGTGTTTGCATGTCTCACAGTGCCCCCAAGTTTCTCAGTGTCCCCTAGAATAAAAGAAAAAAATCTCAGGCACACACTGATAGATTTAAGCAGGTTTATTGGACACCACAATGTTTTGACCTGTACCCAGATCTTTATCAAGTCTCCAGTGTCCCCTATGTATCACAGTGTCTCAGTGCCCCATGTCTCCCAGTGTACCCTCATGTCTCAAAGTCACCCAGTGTCCCCATGTCTCCCAATGTCCCCAAGAGTCTGTGTCCCTAGGTCTCCCAGAGTTCCCTAGTATCTCAGTGTCTCCATGTCTCCCAGTGTCCCAATGTCTCTCAACGTCCCCTAGTGTTCTAGTGACATGGGAACACTGGGAGACATGGGGACACAGACACTAAGGGACTGGGAGACACAGACATGCCCCCTTTTTGTGTATGTTTGCCCCTTTCTGCAGTTCTTGTTATGTGATTTGTGTCAGTGGCCCACCCTTTTACCCCATCCATAGACTTCCTACTTTACTGGACACTGCTGTTAAGGGGTATGGGTTTACTTGAAAGATGAAAGCGTGAAATTAGCATAGGGTATGTGTTTTCTAATAGCTGCATCTTGTGAGTTTCCCTCCAGTACCATCTCCATCAGATACATGACGCTTAGGAGGTAGGACAGTTTTAGTGTTTTTGGTCAATAAGATTTTGTAATTAGGCCCATCATAATTGTCAGCACCAGGCCCACTGGGCTCTTAATCTGGCCCTGGCAATAGCAAACAGTGTAAGCAGAGCTGCAGCGGAATAGGTAGAGGGGACGATACCTACCTAAAAGAAAGATTGCAGCGGAATAGGCAGAGGGGATTATACCTGCCTGGAAGGACAGCTGCAGCATTGTCAGGTGGAAAAGTTCCAGAAGAACCCCACTCAAGTTACAGCGACTGGGGCCTAAGCACTTCAGGTTTCCCGGTTCCAGCTAGGAAGTGAACTTAACAGAGTTACCCAGCTGGGATACAGGGAGTTCTGTCACAACTACTACTACTATAGCTATTAGCTGCTTAGCCAGTAGTGACAAGCATGGAGATATGCTATCTGTATGCTTCCCAAAGCCTGGCATTGGATTTCTGGAGTAAACATATGCAATTTCCACATGTAAAATGCTTAGTCTATCTAGTAAATACCATTCCACATTGCTGTTTCTATATGTCTCTATGAAAGTGTTTAAGTTTTGCTTGGGGAATTTTCTGTGCTAGGGTAATTTAGTAGAAATGGGCATTAGTAAATGCCATCTTGTCTAGCACTAGACAATGTTGATGCCAGCCTCTAATAAATTGAGGGGTTACAATCCCTAGTTTATTAATTCTAGTTTAGATAGAGACTTATAAAATATGACACTCTATTGTTTCCAAATCTCTATCATTGTGCTGCTTCTGCTCTTGGCTGAGACCCAATGAGAACATGGGGCAGGATAAGCAGCCTAGGAGCACTAGCCCCACAAATATTCAGAGGTTGAAGAATATTATGCACCTTTGCATTCTAATGTCAACACCACATGCAAACACACTCCTGCATTCAAACGCTAACACTGCACGCAAATATACCCTTGTGTATTGTGTAACTTGGCATGTTGTCCTCAAACAGCTTGTCCGCTTGTAACTTTTGCCTTCCTGCACTGCCACCCAGCACCAATCAAGAGGGAGTTGGGTCTAATTAGAGGGGCGGGACCTAACATGAGAGGGAAGAGCCTAACGCTGCACACCCCACCAATAAGCCTCTTTCTACAGAGAGTCTTAGCGCTTTGCATTCATACGGGTTTAGGCCTGCATTTTGCACTCCATACCTCTTTTGAATTTGATACTCCATCTTTAGATTTTAAATTAACCTTAAAATTATGATCTTGAAGGGTGTGTGCATGCTACACCACTTCTAATTTATCTGTTAGGCACCTCATAGTGTTTTGTAAAAACAATGCAAAACAAAGCAAATACTCTGAAAGGTAACACAATCTGTCCCACATGCATTTCCAATCACAACAATTCATATTAGAATTTATTATGTATATGAATCTATATATTTGTCCTTAGGGGTATTTATGCAGCAAATACTAATTTTTGTGTAAAGAAATGTGATGGGTCTCACACTTTCTGCTTTTCTGAATTCATGGCTAGAGGATACTACTAACATTAACGATATAAGCACAATAGCAGGTGTAGGAAATATTAGCAAGCCAACAGTAGAGTCAATTAGAGGCAAATTAGTAGGCAAATTAGAGGCAAACTATTGAAAAAAATTGTTTGTGGTAAATGCATAAGCGCAACCAAAATGTAAATGCCCTCACTTATTAAGGGTTAATTGGTATAATGGCTGAATATTTGTTTCATAACTGATTAAAGGCCTTATTTGAAGATTTTTACATTTTCTTTTCAAAGGGATGGGCCAGAATGGCTTGCCATGAGACGAGTAGTGCAAGCAAAACTTATGAAGCCAAAAGAAATATTTAAAATGGATTTGAAAATCAATGAGGTGCGTCATTCTTCATACTATTAATATTCTAATTGTTATTTACTGTATTGTGTAATGGAGCCCTGCTGCAAGAATAGAGAAGACCTCACTACTCCCTTTAAAGTACTCAAAGAAGAGAAAATAAGTTTGTGGTAACACCATTCCATGCTGGTGCATATAGGCATCTGGCGTGTTGCCCCTTAATAATTTTTTTCTATAATCTATTGGAATGGTAAGGACTAATGATAAGTGTGTTATCCACAATTATATTCACTTTACTAATGACTGGAAATGTTGTTGGTTGAGAAACAAAGCAATGTAAAAAATGCCCGTTACTATGATATCTTGTGTCAACCATTGGCTCTGCATGGGGTGTTATATCCTGTATTACTTAAGAAACAGGCCTGCAAGTCCTTCCTTTGTGGACTGTTATTGGGTAACTGCATCAGTCGATGGTGTTGGGCTTTACAGTGGTTATTGTTTTCCACATACTTGTATATATAGGTTTATGGTTTTGAACAGTAGGTGATGTCTCATTGGATCAGGAGTTGAATACATGGAATTAAATTGATAGAACCCAACAAGTCAGGGAGCAGGCAGTACCCCGCCATAATTAAATGCTACTGGTTGCAGAATTTCAAATCAAATATAGGTAAAATCATAACCAAGTGGATTTACCAGATTCAAAATTGTAGCCATGCGATGTGGTACATGTTAAACAGCCCAAATTAAACAAAGAAGACCAGGAGCAAACTCTGATTATATAGAAAGTACTGATCTAATGCCACTTGAACATGGCAGCCAAAACATGAGACTTTTGACTTCAACAACCAACTCAACTCATTGTCGAGACTTTGATTTACTTGTTTAATATATAGTTAGCTTAAGTATTTGTAATAGCATATCAGATAATTTTAAAGGCTTCACAATCAGGGCAGCATGAGATGACAGCAGCAGGTGAATTTACAAGTGACTTGCTTTATGGTTTTCATCACTATTTGACCTAAGATTACACAGGGTGATTGCAAGATCAATACCGATCACAATTAAACTTTTAAACCTCATGGTGCCCGAGACCTGGAATTTGTATGGCAATTTTAATAAGCAAAAACATATTCGTTACCGTTTTACTTTGTTAATTAATAAAGTTTTTTTTATTTTTTATTTTAGGTCTTATCTGATTTTGTCTTGTACATCAAAACACTAAGTGATGAGAAGGGGCATGTTGACAATTTGTACTTTGAGCTCAACAAATGGTCATATGAAAGTAAGTTTGGTCTACGTATCATTTGTCTTGGTATGCATATTCCTTTTTTATACAAATTTTAATTACCTTTCTCAACAGCTATTTGTTCAGTCCTTTATAATGAGAGATGTGGCTTGCTTCAGCAAACATGTGATGAAGATGCCTTTCTGTTCATAAAGTCAGTGAAAAAGGTAAAATGATACTCGTTAATGCATAGAGGGAAAAATGAACACATGATAAAGGAGTGACATTAGTTTAGTCAAGTTTAAGTTGTGTTGGCTCAATTTAATTTAAGTAATTAACTATATTCTATTTTGTTATTTTTGATGTCAGTTAAATTGTTAGAAGTATTGTTGAAGTGATTACATATGAGTTCATTCGAATTGTATAAAAACAGCAGAAATTTTTTTTTTATGAGACAGACTACAAATGACAACATCCCTCAGGTAAGAACAGGCTACTTAACTAGGGCAATGTAGTTGGTAAACCTATTATGGTAACACCAGATGATATTAGGTAGTTATTATCGATATTACTATGACATGCAAAAGTAGCAGTATATTAGTAAAAACAGTCTAAAGTGTCGTGGGATGAATGACTAACATAATTAGCCATGCTGCAGCTGAATTCAGATAAACACAAAAGTTAGTTTAAAAATTCATGATATTTACTATTAGCATGACAGGATGGCTTATAAGCATAATTAATTTCAGTTGGTGGCTCTATTTTCCTGGCATAAGTGCCAAGACAGCATGACACCAGGGAAATAACAGGAGCTGTGAGCAGTAACACTTTGTTGCTGTTTACAGGCATTGATCAATTCACTGAGTGATGATTGGTGCTCTATAGACAAGTATAATGTAAAAAAAGGAGATACTAAAAAGTAGTGTTCCCTAGACCCTTTTAATACAAGTAGGGACCTGACAAGTATCCCCTACTTCATTCTCCATCCATGTGCAGTGAGGTGAAGGGTAGTCACTGGGGTCCAGGAAACGGTCCGTTACCTGTGTAATAATGGGCCTTTGGGGTGCCAAGAAATGTCCCACTTACTGGACTTTAAGGGGCTAATCTCATTAAGTTTTATTATTATGTGCCTCTGAATGTCCAGGAGTTGCCCAGTTTAAATACCAGAGACTAATAGCAGAGACTAGGCATCTCTTGGACCCCAATAGCCCACCTTATTATATGTACAAAGAACCCAGGAAACTTGGCTTTTGCCTTGTCTTATTGATTGCTCTTTACAAAGCTGCACATGGGGGGAGGATTGGGTAAAGGCCTATTCTGTATTATTGGAATTCAAGAAATGCATTGTTTTTTACTTTATTGTTTACTATGCTTACCTTAGTAAACTGGTTGGTTGACTATTAGTGTATGCTGAGTATGTTTTAGTTTTTTTTTTTATAGATAGAGACAAATAAAATATGGACAGATGCAGAGAGATTGTCATTCTGATTTTTTTTAAACTAAAATAACATATTCTACTTTGTTTTTCAGATGATGCAGTATTTAGGTCCACTGCTTGTAACTTCTGCTGATCTTCATAAAAAATTCAATACAACACAATGGCAGAACCATACAAAAGCATGGGATAATGTATTCATGACAAGTAAGTCATTTAACATGTAGATTGTTCTATGAATTTAAAGGACCACTATAGGCACCCAGACCACTTCAGCTCAATGAAGTGATCTGGGTGCCAGGTCCATCTAGGGTTAACACTGCCTGCTGTAAACTTAGATTCAGAGAAACTGCTATCATTACATATGGGTTAATCCAGCCTCTAGTGGCTGTCACATTGACAGCCGCTAGAGGCGCTTCCGTGCTTCTCACTGTGATTTTCACAGTGAGAAGATGCCAGCGTCCATAGGAAAGCATTGAGAATGCTTTCCTATGGACTGACTGAATGCGCGCACGGTTCTTGCTGCGCATGCACATTCAGCCGATGACGTCGGAAAGAAGATGAGAGTCCCCAGCGCCGAGGGAGCCCAGCGCTGGAGAAAGGTAAGTGATTTAACCCCTTTCTCTCCCTTCAGCCCGGCGGGAGGGGGGCCATGAGAATGGGGGGGACCTTTTAACACTATACTGCCAGGAAAACTAGTTCGTTTTCCTGGCACTATAGGGGTCCTTTAACATATAATAATGCTGATATGTGTGTTGTTTATCGTTGATCTCCACTTCATTTCCTGACCTTGACTGGTAATTGATGATATTTTTGCACCTTTTTCACTGTTCAGTGACTTAGATAATGTTGGTTGACCCTCAGAGTTCACAAAAACCTGTAGGCTGAGTGATAGTGGAAACAATAGTAAAGGGTCAGCGCTGATAGAACAAACTGGGAAAGTGAAATTAAGGCAGCTTTCCCTCTATTAAGGAATCACTCTATCACTATAGTAGTAAGGTAAGTACAAAATATAAAAAGTGTAGAGGATTAGCGCCACTCTAAAAAGACACTGGGGAGGATAGTATAACCAGCATAAGATGCCTTAAAAACGAATAAATAGAAAATAAGATAAATAGAAAATAAAATATTAAATATAAGTCCAAGATAGAAAGTCCAATAAAAGATGATGGTATATACTTTCCTGAGGAGCAATCACAAACTTTTCTTGCTGGGATATCAGATGCGGTCCTTATGTGGAAAGAAGGAGAGGATAATGGTGCAGTATGTCTAGAAAATATAAAAATAAGAATAAAAGTATATATGGTCCTACTCTAGTTTTTTAGAGCTTTAAACCAGCTCCAGTATGAAAGGCATACAGTGGTACAATCCCTGCTTATAGGATACGTGAAGAATTGTTTCAATGATGTGTGGACCAAAAAATAAAAAGAAAGAACAATAGTGCTCACTGTATAAAATCAACCAGAAGAATAAATAAGAGAATATTACTCACATTTACCAGAGCAGACAAACTGCTTTATGGATAGGGTGCAGGTCGAATAATCCCCACCTAAGGATTTCTTGAGTAGTTCTTACTAGGAGTAAAATCAGGATACCAGGCAATAAAATAATAAAAGAATAATAACGGAGTAAAAAGAGTAAAATTGCACACTCAATGTAAAAGTAGCCAAAATACCTTTATTAACACAGTTTCGCCACAAGGGGCTTCTTCGAGTGTACATAGTATTAGCCTGACACATGTGGGTTTATATAGGGCCCAAACAATCAGCAAATTGAAAATGGTGTCTTATTTGACCTTTGACATGACATGTTTAAAAGGTCAAATGACATATTAACAGGAAGTAGATATACTAAAAATGAAAAAAAAATCCAAGGCAAACAAAAGCAATACAATTTATCTAACAAGAGGGATTAGGATCAGGTGGGCAGATTCAATATACCCTTGGAATAAGGATAAGGACAGGCATTGTGGAGGTCATATTGTGGGCAGGGTTAGCAACAGCCGAGAATAAATTGCACAGGGATATATATATACACTTAAAACTGTAGACCATTATAAGATATACAGAATGTTAAAATAAAAAAAAATATAAAATCAGTTATATATAAAACTGTAGATACATAAAGAAATAAAACTGAGAAAGTATGTACAGTTAATTACAGCTATTTGTTTTTTAATAAAAATGTGTCTGAGAGTTAAACTTAAAATGTATATGTTTAGGAATAAACCTTATAAAGGGGGTAAAAAAGATATTGTATAGGAAGGAATAGGATAAATTTTTTAAAGTTATAAAAAGTTTAAAATTTCAAAATCCACATTCAGGCCTTTTGAGGCCAGGGTTTTTAAATCAAATTTATTTTTGACCTTAAACTTTTTGGAGGAGGTAGTGCATACAGTAGACTTGTAAGTTACAGAAAAATTTGGCTGGCCAAAAAAAATTAGTTTAGTTTATTTGGATTTCGTCCTTGTGGCATTTCGCTTTAGACACATTTCATTCATACAATTGTTTTGGGGAAAATAAGATTTCCTCCCTTTTGGTTCACATATCAAGCGAGAAGAAGTAACCAATAGATAAAAAAAGAGGAGGAGCAGTAAGAAAATTTATTCTTATAAACTGTTTTTAAACATTATACATTAAACACATATGTTTTTTTTTTTTAACTACTTCTCCATTTTCCCCTCTTTTGGTTACTTGATGTTTGAATACAATCTAGTTTAGCAGCTGTCCCTTAACCATCAAGTCTCTTTTTTTCCCAATTAATCATCAATTTTTGCACCACGGATGGAACTAGTAATCATGCAACAAGCTAAACTGCTCGACCATTGTCTGCTCGAACTGTGAATTAATGGAACATAAACGCAGTTACAAATTTTAAAATGTACACCTATATGAATGCAATGTATCTGTTTTAATTAGTTTTGCTAGCTAGTATTTTTTAATTTGTAGATTTGTTTTACTGTATTTTGTATGTAAATGCGTTAGAAAAAACACTTATCTGTATTTATTTATTTATTTATTCTAGCAAAACATTGCATTGATAAACGACTGTCAGATTGTTCCAATGCACAGAAAGATGACTTACTCACTGCAATTTATTCTGATAAATTGCTCACAAAAAATCAACTATCAGGTCTTTTTGCTGAACTTCAGATTGGTGGCGTAGAAACTGTAAGTTTATGCACTTCCATAAGAGAATGATACGTTTCACAATTATAACGTTTTAATGCTATTGTCTTTGAAAGAAAACCTTTCTAACTTATTACATGTACGATTAAGTGTATGGTGTAAGCATGATGCAATTATACTGCATGTATCTACTTAGAAAGCTTGTAATTCAATGGTTTCTATCATATATGAGATAAAATATTTAATAACAAGTCTACACAAAATATCATTGTCCTTTTAAGTATGTGTAATAATATTTGGTTTATTATAATGACTTTTGATAGTGATTATTTTAATCGAGATTTATAGAAGCATGGCTAATAACGCTCTTAACAATTTACAAAAGAGTCACAGTAAAATAAATAATAATTAACAATATATGAGGTTCATTATTTGCAAGCAAAGGAAACTAGTCTGGGTTCATCTTGATCCATAGTGCTTATTTTTGAAAATATACTGACCTGCTGAAAACAGAAGCTGTAGGTATTTCCATCATAAAAAAACATGGCTAATTAAACAAATGCAAAAGTAGAGAAGATACCTTGCCAGCATTTCAAAATAGCCAACCTGAAAGGGGTCAGGTCAATTAAAGGGACACTGTAGTCACTATAACCACTTTGTCTCTTTGAATTGGTTATAGTGCCTGGAGTGGCCTGGCACTGTCCCTCCATTCAGTGTTGCACCATTTTTGTGCAGTATGCCACAAAATAAGAGTCCCTTGCCACCCACAATCCGGCCCCTTCTGTATGTGTAGCTAAGGCAGAGATTACACACTTCCTTGTTGTCATACCCATCCATACCGTCAGTTGGAACTCTGACAGGTTAAAAGCAGTCAGCTGACACACTCATCCAATCACAGCTGCCCATTGCCTCTCAATACTTCCTTATTAGCCAAAGCAGCACAGAGGGGATAGACTGCCGTGGACTCTTGTTTAGCATTAAAACATTACAACATTAAAAACTGTTTAATGCTGAAAGAAATGATGGTACCAGGGGACTCCAGACACTATAACCAGTTTAATGAGATGAAGCAGATGCAGTGCCTACGGTGTCCCTTTACGTCCACCATGGCTCACAGCTGCACCATTTTTACTCAACAACTGTTACCACAGTTGTTGAAGGAGAAGACATATTGACCATAAATGCAGGTATAGTAAGTGCATGATAGAAGTGGTTATGGTAAAGTTTAGAAAAGGCATAATGTTAGATTACACAGGGTGTTTAGTATTACAAGGAATAAAAGAATGAGAGGGGTTATAGCTGTGCTATAAGGGGTATTTGGAATTATTGGATTTAGGGGTAGAGTGGGGTTGATTTTTTTTTCAGCGTGCATGATGTGTTTTATTTTTTGAAGATGATTTAAATTTAGGAATAAATTTAATCCTTCTACTTGATACTACTAGTGCCCTGTACACCCACTTTGATTAACTGATTTAATTTTTTTTTTTACTGATTTCTGATTTTCTTTTTTTACTTCTTGTAAGAGAGGGGATTTTTGCTTTGCAGTGTGCCTCTGTGCCACTGCTTGTGCTTTGGAAATTGTAAACTTCTTTCCTTAGTAATATACAAAGTGTGTGTCTGCAGTTTACTGCACTAGTGAACCCTGCCTATACTGAGTATGGCAATAGTAGTATTGCAGGCAGAGTACAGAATTATTGAAGATGAAAAGCTTTTTTTTTTTTTTTTTTTTAAACTACGTGCTGTATGCAGTGTATTCAAACATAATAATGTTAAAGTAACTGTAAATCCACCAAGTAGCAACCTATTTTGCAGCACAAACATAAGGCAGGGTGAAACCATTGTAATGACATATATTTTACCTCCTCTACTACCAGCCTTAGGCAGAGCAGGGAGAATGTTGAGGATAGAGCTAGTTGTCGACAATGGCAAGTTGGACAGGGACACTTAGACACTTAGACACTTCATCATTATAAGGAAGTGTCTACCAGCTCACTCTTGAAAACTGGATTGGATTCCACTCCTGGAATATGTGAAATCTAACAAAATCACCTACCTGATTGCACCGATTTATGGAGTTGCCCTACTGGCCAGAATGCATTTCTTAATTTAACTGCACACTGGTGGATGTGCACTGTGACTGGGTATGATGGAGGTGGTGGAGGAGGTGCAATCTTCCTGCAAACCTATTGGAAATTGCAGGATCATGACCAGGCATTTCCACTGTATTGTGTGGACCAAGAGAAAAGATACTTTCTAAGACAGGATGTATGGTGGAAATCCACTATAGAAATGCTGAAAAGATTTTGGAAAATTAGACAGCAATCCATAGTCTATCTTTCCACCACTCCATTAGCATTGACTCTCCACTGGGACATGAGCATTGAACAATAATAGGGCATCTAGTCCTTATTCCATTTAGGGACATGACAAAAACTTTGAGCCATAGTAATGCCAGTTTGGCACAGGTAATCCACTTGTTCACCCAACTCATTAAAAAAAAAAATACTTCTGATGCTGATGCTCCCCCCTTTTTAAAAATGTGTAGCAGAGTTTTGTTCTAGTCAGAGTGGAAGCGGTGGGTTATCAATTTCCCACTTTTTCCTTACATTTTTGGAAGTGCTATTAGCAGCTTAAGCCATGTTTGTAAAGGAAGATTGTGTCAAACAGGCTCTATCATGATGGAGGCATTTGTCATAACTGACCTTTTGGGTAAGAACGTTTGAGTAAAGTAGAACTGTACTCAAACTTTTATTCAAGTAAAGTACAAATTAGAAATCTGAAGAAGCTTATTACAATCCAAACAGGTGCCAAATATGACAAGAGTATATTAAAGAAATAGTCAACTATCTTCAAAGAGCTTGTACTGTCTTTGTCACCATAAACTTCTTGATGGAATGGATACAACAGGATTTGTTAGTAAGATGTTTTGACTTTATAGTTTAATAACAAAATTAAAATTTTCATTGCAATGGTTTTGCCTTGCTTGGCTGAGTCTTATAGTGCCTTCTACCACCCAGATGCATTTAGGAGAATCGGATAATGTACTGTTGTTTTTCACACAGAAGGACCACTGTCACTAAATACTGAATGTTAGGGAAAGCTTAGTTATTCTTAGGGTGGAATTGGGAGTGGGTGGTTAATTACCCCTTGACCATTTTCTTTCCTTTTTGGATAAATCCCTTATTTTCAACTTGAAATGACTTCTGCTACCCATTTTTTTTTAATACAGGATAGAAAAAAGTAAATATATTACAATCAATTGTTATAAAAAAAGTTCACTACCTATTTTTTTTTTATTTGCAAATAGCTAATATTGTGTAGTTGTTAGGCCAGGCAAACCTGTGGCCATTTTTTCATGTCAGCACAGTCACAGGCAGAATTTTTCCTGTTGTATTGGCTTTCAATTAATTTTTTTTTGGTTCTAAAATTTGCCAAATAGATGCATGAAATAATGTCTACTAATCCCGCCGTAAAAATAAATAAATAAAATAATAATTCTGCTGAAGTGGTTCAGAAGGACCTAAATTCTTTGCTCAGCACAAGTCTAGCGGTTAGTGGTAGAAATGCTTATTGTCAGAAGTAGTAAGGTCAGGGAGTGTTTTACATCTAGGAAGGTTTAGAACTAGGAGGTATCTACTTTCAAGATGCTACAGGCAGACAAAGATAAAACGTTTTATTGGCTGTATTTATTGCATTAGAGGGTTTATGTTTGTGATTTTTCACTCAGCGCTTCAATAGTAAAATGAATTGGTTAAACAATACACAATATAATTCAGTAACCTTGTTAAATGCAGATACACAATTAAATTAAATATCTTATTCTTATACTTCCAGACTGCAAATTCATTAATGTGGTTGCTATTTAACCTCTCAAGAAATACCCATGTACAAGAAAAACTTTTAGAAGAAATTCAAAATGTGTTACCTCCAGGGGAACCACCATCTGCTGAGATATTACAACAGATGCCGTACTTAAAGTCCTGTATAAAAGAATCCATGAGGTATATTGATGTTTGCATTTACATGAATGCCTAAATATAAAATTACATAAACTGGCATATTGAGATCACACATTTGCAGATACACAGATATGATTATTTATGAGATTTGCCTGTTGAACATTCTATTGCAGCAAGAAGACAACATTTTTTAGAATAAACATATATTTAGCACTGCAGGAAGAGAAAAAAAAATAATAAAATGCATATTGACACTAAATTCTCATTGGCTGCTTTTGTGTGCATTTCTACCCAAAGGTATAATATGTATCAGGTAATAAATACCATTTAGTAACTTTCTGAATAACTTCAAATATAAGTTATAATGGAACACTATACCTACACATATTTTATTTAAGATCAATTTATGTTTACTCTTTACTTTTTTTGTAAGTCAAATACATTTGGAACTCATACCTGGAATCCATTGATTTAAAATAACCTTTTCATTTTAGGCTAACTCCTACAGTTCCTTTCACAAGTCGAACACTGGAGGAAGATACAAACCTTGGCGGATTTCTGATTCCCAGTGGTGTAAGTTTTGCTTTCATTTCCTTTGTTAGATAAGAAATCTAAATATTTGTTAAGATGTTAATGTAAAAAGTCATTGTATAAGCACTGCTATAAAAACAACTCTGTGTATATGTTTACTGACCAGCTGCTACACACTGACTTGCTCATCATTACTGTTTGCGAGCAGTGGCTGCAAAATTACTGCCTGCAAAATCTTAACAGAGATGTATCGACAGCAAGTCCTGAAAGTTACTAAGTAGCAGCTAATGCCTCCTATTTTTAATGGGAGCAACATATTGCTACTTAGTGACTGCTTTCAGAATAGTTTCCAACCCTGTCTCTACTCACTATTACTAGTTACTGCTAACCCCAAAAACTTAACACAAGCGTCTGGTTTTGTAGCCACTATTATCCTCTGCTGTTAATAGTGTCAGCTTACGGCAATTATTTTCTTACCAGTAGGTAGACAAGCTTTGTTACTATGCATAAACAATGTTGCTATAAACATTATTATTATTATTTTTACTGATATTTATATAACTCTAGCGTAGGACTTGTAGTGCTTTACAATATTTTCAAAGGGGGAGATTTTACAAAAAGTGAGACAATTACAAAAACTTAGTATATAATAGAGTGACTAAGGAGTGTGGGCTCCAATGTGTTCTCGGAAACTGTGCTGCAAATATACTGCTCAACCTGGCAATTAAAGCGGCACTGTCATGCCGAACTTACCTTTCCTCAATCTCTTCCTCTTCTCCACCCCTCTCGGGATCTGTTATTCTTTTCTTCCTGTCTTCTTTAGTTTTCTTTAAAATCATAAGACAAAGTAGGGACTCTTTGCCTTATGGAGGATTCCTCCGCTTGACCAGCTCTGACCAGCGGAGGAGCAAAGTGTGCTTCATTTCCGCTGGTCAGAGCAATTTTCCCATGATCCCTAGCTTTCCTCTGTGATCTCGCAATGCTTCCTGTCATTTTAGCTAAAACTGCCGAATTGCGTTCTAACTGAATGAGAACAGTATGTTCGTTTCTTTTAGAACGCAATTTGGCACTTTGTTTGTGTCGGAATTTCATTCTAATGAATGAAACTTCGATCCTATTCATTGCCGCGGCTGCATCTTGCAGCCGCTTAGTAGATAACTCCCTAATTCCCTTTGGTATCAGGGAGCTATCTACTAAAAGGCTGAAAGACCTAAGTTGGTCTTTCAGCCAACTTTACTAATACTATGTAAAGATTACTTAGTATTAGTAAATTATATGCCCCTACTCGCTATATCGCGAGTAGGGGCATGTGTAGTAAGTAGTGAGCAGCTTATAGCTGCTCACTGTAAAAAAAACAACAAAAATCTAATAACCCCCCCCTGCCCGTGGGGGCCCTAAATAAAGATGGGGGGGACCTATTGTCCCCCCCGGCCCCCACCCCTGCGCGGTGGGTGTGGGCCCTAATAAAACAATAAGGGGGGGGGACCTACTGTCCTCCCCCCCTGGCCCCCACCCCTGAGGGGTGGGTGGGGGCCCTAATAAAACAATGCCCCTACTCGCGGTATAGCGAGTAGGGGCATTTGGGAGATTTTAATCTCCCTTGTGCTATTATGGGGGTCATATTGACCCCCATAGAGTGAGAGGGGGACCTGGGGGGGCTTATGAAGTGGCGGGGAGCACTGCTCCCTGCCGCTTCTATCTTTACATATTACAAGGAGGGAGCTGCACGCCGGTAGCTCCCTCCTTGTAATAAACTGAACGAACAAACTAACACTGATACACAGTGTTAGTTTGTTCGTCTGACATTTCTATTCATTCATTCGTCTGTCTGATATATGAATGAATAGATGAAATTTCCGTTCGCATGTCCAGGTGTTTCACTGGGCATGTGCGGGAATCTCACAGTCTGTCTAGTGTGGGCAGATGACGTGTCCCTGAGGGACTTCACCTACCCACACAAACATAGCGGCGCCCTGAATATAGATCGGGGCAGAAAATAAAGATTTAAAAAGAGGTAATCTGGGGGGCTTAAGGGTATTTGGGGTGACTAGTGGGTCAGTTGGATGTAGTGGAGGCGGGAGGGGGGTTAAAAAAAAATGGGATTCGGCATGACAGTGCCGCTTTAAATGTTTTTTATGAGTTTTGAAAGTGTCACTATTAGTGTTTGTTTGAGTATAGGAATAGTAAGGTGAATATGTGTTACACAATGCTGCTTCCTTATCAGACAGTATCATTATCTCTCTCTATATAATAGATATTATATACTAAGTTTGGAAAGAAAGCGCAAACATGATGTACATATAATTCTTACACATAAAATCTAGATAATGAAGAAATTATTTGGTCTAATTGTATCATAAAATAGATATACACAATGCTGAAATTAATGAATACAACACATATTTAAAAAAGCGAATAGATTGCTGGTACCATTATAATTGGGGTCCGAGTATGCACACTCTTTTGGACTCCCAAATATAGAGTGGAAAAAAAAATGTTGAGGTGAAAAAGTGGTAAATGGGATTTAAAAGTAAAAAAATATAGAAAGCAAAAAAATACAAAAAGAAAATACTGAACAAAAAATGAAATAAAAATAAAATAAATTAAAAATAAAAAGTGAGGTAAAATAAAAATATAATGTTTATAGTAAACAGAGAAAACAAACGACAACAAAAATGTCAAAAGGAGTCCGACCTGATTTTGAAGATGGAGGCTGAATGCCCGATAGTTCCATCGGTCTCAGATTCTTATGCAGGGTTGTGATAAAGTAGCCCAATATATTTGTAAGTCTTCTGGAGTTGGAACAATAAAATTGTAGGCTAGATGTCCACTAAATCCGTTGGAGTGTTAACGTTAGACTTGTTAGGACTTGAACGAATACCAAACTACATGCAAGACGGGTGAATCCAGATAGCCACCGTACTCACTCCAGCTGGCTGAGTGGGAAAACTTTGTGAATCCCGGGAGCCACCGAACTTACTACAGCTGTCCGAGCGCGCCAGACTACAGTGTTATACAGGTGGATGGAAGTGCTCCCTCGCAGCTCGATAAACCACAAATTGATATCTCTACAGACATCACACTGTCTCTTACATTGAAATCTCTACCATGTACCCAAATGTCTGTACGTTCACACTCCAACAGATTTAGTGGACATCGGGCCCACAATTTTATTGACCGACGGAACTATTGGGCATTTGGCTCCCATCTTCAAAATCAGGTCGGACTCCTATTGACATTTTTTGATGTTTTTTTTTCTCTGTTTATTATAAACATTATATTTTTATTTTACCTCACTTTTTATTTTTAATTTTATTTTTCATTATTTTTCATTTTTTATTCTGTATTTTCTTTTTCTTTTTGTGTTTTATTTTTTCTATATTTTTTTCCCATTTACCACTCTTTCACCTGAAGCTTTTATTTTTCCCACTCTATATTTGGGAGCCCAAAAGAGTGTGCACACTCGGACCCCAATTATAATGGTCCCAGCAATCTATTCGCTTTTTAAAATATATGTTGTATTAATTAATTTCAACATTGTGTATATCTATTTTATAATTACAAAAACTTACAGGAACAATAGGTTGAAGAGGGCCCTGCTCAAACGAGCTTACAGTCTATAGGAGGTGGAGCATAAAACGCAACAGGACAGGAGGTAGCAATCAAACAAGGTGGAGTGAAGCAGAGCTGGAGGAGAGAATAGAGTGATGCCCTTTATGAGAGAGCAAGGGACAGGTACATGAGGTAGAGGTTACTCTGGGTGACCATAAGCTTTCCTAAAGAGATGGGTTTTGAGGCACTTTTTAAATTATTGAACACTAGGGGAGAGATTGAAGGTCGTAGGCAGGCTATTCCAAAGGAAAGGAGCCACCCGCGAGAAGTCCTGCAATTGTGAGTTGGCCTTACGGGTGCAAGCAGCGGACAGGAGAAGGTCATGGGCAGAGTGGAGAGACCGAGAAGGGGCATGCCTGTGGATCAGAGAAGAGATATGGGTGCGGCTAGAATTGGTCAGTGCTTTATAGGTGTTGACTAGTACATTGAATTGACTCCTATAGGATACAGGAAGCCAATGTAAGGACTGACAAAGGGCAGAGATCTGAGAGGACCCACAAGAGAGGAAAATCAGACTAGCTGCATCATTCATCACAGACTGTAGCGGGGCAATGAGACTTGTGGGAAGACCTATTAGGAGAGAGTTACAATAATAGAAAAGTATTTATAGAGTAATAAAAAACAACTGAGTTAACAATTAGATGTCATCATTATTAAACATGTAAATAAATTACCTGAGCAGGGGTCCTCAAGATCCCTGTTAAACATTGAGACAGAATGGGTGAATTTCAGCATTAATCCACAACCCACTGCACTTGGTCTATGAACCAAGTTATCCCAGTAAATAAAGGGTTCAATAGAAACCCGCTAGTTGTTTTGGCCACACTTTATATTTAATATAAAAGAATCAACATAACGAATGCCACATATATAGAATTTAAACTTGTTTTATTATGACTAACACATATTTCAAAAGTTGTTTTTTTTTTGTTTGTTTTTTTATAAACAGACCATTGCTATGATAAACTTTCATGCAATGAACTGGAATGAGGACTTCTTCCCTGACTCTCGAGAATATAAACCAGAAAGATGGCTCAAAGGAAAACACACACTCAACCCATTTGCACACACTCCATTTGGCACTGGAAAAAGGATGTGCATTGGACGCCGCTTGGCAGAATTACAGCTACAACTGGCTCTTTGTTGGGTAAAATCCATTTTTATAATTTATTTCAGAGTATACTTATTACAGGCAAATAGTAAGTGAATAAAACCAACATTAACACAAAATGCAAGAGAAGCAGAAAAATCACAAAATGGATGGATGATAATATTTCCTATCTATGAATAAAGTGCACGTTAATGGGTTACTCCAACTTTTTTTTTTTTTGGTTTGTTCGACTAATGCCCTATTGGGCACTATTCTTTAGGTCTTTTACTTTCCTAATTAATTTGCAAAGTTCACAGTGCTGATCGGCACCCTCTCCCCCATTGTGTCATCATGGGAGCAGTGTGAAGGCCCAATCAAAGGCTTCTCATAGAAGCCTGCAAAGGGAGAGGGAGTAGGAAGGGAAAGAATAAGGTGGGAAGAGAAAAAAAAAACAGATTAAGGGGGCAATTTTTAGAGGAGAACACAATTAGCATTTAAAAAAAATAAATAAAATTAGCAACAGTCATAAAGACAACAAAGCATCCACTAAACGAAGAAAGGCCCACAATGAACTTAATTGGTAAGTGTGACCATGGTTTGTTTGACACATATACATGTTGAAGAAAGCAACATGGTAATCTGTGAGATATCTTAACTCTATTGCACATGTTGCAAGCCTGGACATGTTCTCTGGTATTAGCTCATCTTGTCCCATTACAGAGAGAACATATCTGAAGCATATCAGACTGGTCCCACTTGTACGGGCAGTCCAGATCCGAAATGCCAGCAAGTTCCCTCTGCACGAGAGATACAGCAACCCCAAACGATTGTTTACTCCCTTAGGTCCTGGGCACTTTGTGTTGTTTTACTTCTCCTCAATATAAAAACAGGGCTGACTGCAAGATATGTTTTGATATGATGTGATACTCTTGTCTTGTTTCACACTATGTCTTGTGCATTCATTCAATCATTATTATATTGTACCACCAGCACAACAAAAATAAACAATGATATAAACTATCAGTTAAACACAGAAACTAGGCCACTATTAGTTCAATCAAGCTCTGATGGCAATGTAAGCAACTCAAGTCAGCCACAGGCCTGGATCCTTGCTTAATCCATCCTTGCTTAATCCTCGTAATAGATTTAGTGGTATTCTTAGCTCTACCAGGGGGTTTGAATAATTTATGAAAAGTGTTAATGTATTCATGTTGGTTATAAACAATAGGACTGTTGCTCTCCCAGTGCAGGTTTGCCAAAGCTAATGCCTTATCCAAGAGTAAACTCATTAGAAAAACTACTTGGTCTCTGTCAGAGGGAAAAGATCTGTGAGACATCTTAAAATGTGTGCCCACTTGGTTTTAAAAAACATCTCCTTCATATTTAGGGAGGAGGGTTTAGTTGCACTAATGGAGTTTATGATCTAGCTTTCAGGTGACAGACACAAGACCCTATCAGCTGTCCTAAGCCTTCAGGGTAAATTACCCTGTTGTAAAGGCAGGATAACTATACACCACCATGGATAACTTAGTTCAGAACCCAGAAAGTAGAGCAGAGCATATTACCAGTCTTTAGAGGTGGCTGGGCTGAATACAATGAAGTGAGGAAATCGTAAATGAGAGAATAAACCAAGAACAACAAGCCAAGATAATACCAGGGGGCTCCAGGCATTATAACCTCAGGTACTCATTTAGACTAAGGAATATATATCAGGTAGAGTGATCTCAGGCTTTATGTGGTCAATAAAATGAGTGCCACTAAATTAGGTAATAAAAACAGCTATTGCAAAAAAAGATGAATGTACTATTCATGGGTAAATAATTCTATATTTTGTTTATCTCAAATGTTAAATGATTATGTACTTGTTTGGCAGTTACAGTACATGTATTTACAAATGTATACACATACAACTGAGATAATCTGTATTACTCTATTTTAAAATAAATGTAAAAATAGATTTTTAAATACTACCATACCTTTTTATTTTAGTTAATTCAACATTTTCACATAATGGCAACGGATGATGAACCAGTAAAGGCCATAACATCTGTAGTGATGATTCCATCAAGAAATTTACCTATAGCTTTTCAAAAGCGAGAGGTATGTATTCTAGTATTATTATGAAGAAAAATAAATAAATATATATATATATATATATATATATATATATATATATATTTATTTATTTATTTTTTGTCTTTAACTACTTGAACAAAGTACCTTAACAGTGACTGAGAGCTTATTATTCATGTCAGTAAATCATTATTATGCTTATTAAGACAAAGTTATTCAAAAAAGGCAAAGAAGAAATAGTTGATGCAACCAAATATATAGAGTTATAATCAATATGTTAATAAACAATGGAGGGAAGTAGAGAGAGTAAAAAGTAATGAAGAAATCAAGATGTCTCTTATCCTCCCTTACCAAGTTCCTCACCCAAGAAAGTAATAGGAAGAAATATTTGCAAGAGCACCATTAAACCAATTGCACCAGTGTCACTGTAATAGAAATAGAAATAATGGACAGGGCTGTAAACATCTGCGTAGAGAGGTTAATGATACATAGTTGTCTATCTCCTTAAGTAGGCATTGAAATAGGCATCAGTATTTGTACAAGCTAAATAAAAAAATAGGTAAAGATAATATAGTGTATAAAAAGAAAGGTAAAGATCTTCTAATGGAAGCAGCATTGTACTTATCTTTTCAGAGATTTGGATACATTGAGGACTGAGCAAATATGCAAGGTTCAATATAGATCAAGAGTTATGTATTTTGGCAAAAGGAATATGGATTTGAGTTAAGGGGCACTAGTGGGATAAAAAAATTATGAGGAGTATGAAATATCTTGTGTAAAAATCAGGGACGTGTTTACTTTAGAAATAAGACATCTTAGAGGGCATATGATAACATTTTACAAATAGACACTGAAACATTTCAAAAGGAGATTTCATCCTGTGCAGAAAATGTTACAATGAGAACAATAAAAAAAAATGATATTCTATGCATCTATGCACAGAGATTGCTTTATAATGTGTTTTTGGTAATGCCAGATATTCAAGGAAATAAACAGCTAATCGTAATACCACTTTGAAGTAAAAAATAAGTTTTCTGGCTATTTATCATGGCAGCATCACTAATGGTAGCTCTGCCCCTAATCAGATCAGGACAGGATAAACCAATAAAAAAAAGAGAGAGAATGAGGCTGGAGGCATAAAAGGTCCCTCCTCCTTCCATACCTCAGTCTTTTTTCCTGTCCTTAACCAGACAAGACAGGTTAATATTTTTACCTTAATTTTCTTGTTGGCCACCTTCCCATGTGCACCATGGGTCTCCCAGGCACAGTTCAGCCTCTTGTGCCTGAAGGACCCAGTAAACAGCCTGCATGAACAGGACTAACTGGGTCAGATTCAAATTAGTTATTTGAATCTGCAATGTGGATGACCATACAACATGCTAACGTCTATGGCTCCATTGGAAATTCAGTTGCCTATTTATATTCTCCCTACAGAACCTAGAGGCAATCTGGGAGATATACCTTCCTCCTTTTCATTCAGGAGTTTTTTTTCCTATTTCTATCTTTTCCTCAATTTGTGTACTCACGGGTCAGCCGAATCCCGGGAGTTTCATGTTCTTATGGCTCAGCTCGCATTCGGATAAGTGTTTCCCTGTCTGTTCATCTAATTCTGCCGTACAAATGCCATGGCATTCCTTTCCTTTTCAAAGGGACTCCCTGGCTAACTTCAGTTTGTTTACTCATTTTGACACAAACTGAACTAGAGAAAGGGCGCGAACGGGCGCAAACTATCTGCGCATTCACGAATTTCCCTTCTTAAAGTTACAGGTTTACTAACAAATCTTAAAGTGACAAGCTCTTCTGTTCCTAAAGAATTATCTTCAGTACTGCCTGGGTAATTTCTTACTCAATTTAAATTAAGATTATATTATTATCTTCTAATTTCAGATCAATCATAGGTTATAAATAAATTCCCGGAAATAAGTCTTCTCACTTCACAACCTTTACTAATTTTTATAGATGTCTTCTCCCTCTGCCTCCCATCGCTCAGTTTCAAAGAAACATAGGTGAGCCATCATTTTTATGTATATAAGGGGATTAAAAGAGTGCCATACGGGCCTCAAGCTCAAGGTCTGGGCCCCTGACGCAGCTCAAGGTCTGGGCCCCTAGGGCCCACCCACATGGCCCACCCCCAAGTCAGCCCACATGACCCGCCTCCAAATCCACTCACAGGGCCCATTTTGAGTCCACCCACAAGGATGAAGTGTGTGTGTACTGAATTTGGTTGTGTATATAGCATCTGTAGAATATGTGTAGTGGATGCAAAGTGTGTGAGTAAAGTGGATACAGTGTTTATAGTGGATTCAGATTGTATGTTTGTGTAGTGGATAGAGAGTGTGTGTATTGTGGATGATTTGTGTGTATAGTGAATGCAGAGTGTGTGTTTGTGTAGTGAATGATGTGTGTGTTTGGTGTGTGTGTGTGTATAGTGGATGGTGTGTGTGTTTGTGTAGTAAATGCTGTGTGTGTGTGTTTATGTAGTGGATACTGTGTGTGTGTTTGTGTAGTGGATGATGTGTGTGGTTGTGTAGTGGATGCAGTTTGTGGTTGTGTAGTGGATGCAGTTTGTGTGTGTTTGTGTAGTGGATGATGTGTGTGGTTGTGTAGTGGATGCAGTTTGTCTGTTTGATAATGGATGTGTGACAAATGCTGCTGGGGGGGGTATTTTTCTGACCATCACCTGTAGCCAGGGAGGGGGGACACCGGATTCCCTGGTGGTCCGGTGGCTAAGCTTGTTGGGCCAGCATAGAGGGGCCCAGCAGACTCTGTCTTCCCCCTCCTGCAGCCAGTGCTCTATTTGTGTAGCGAGCCCAGCATGCATTGCATGCCACAGAGAGTTGTCACGGCAACCCACGGCAACGCTTTAAAGCCGTGGCTCGCGAGAGTGCCAGAGGGGAAGGTCAGTGTGCCCTGGGCCCCACTTGGAAGCCAGCAGGGCCCATAGAGACATATATATAGCGGTACTCACTATATATATATATATATATATATATATATATATATGCACATTGAAGAGCCAGGGGCCCGGGCACGCATTGGATTACCTGTGCAGTCCGGGCCCCCCATCGCCGCCGGGCCCGTGACAACCGTCATGGTTGTCACCCCCTGATGGCAGCCCTAGTCGCTGACATGGCCCTTCTTATTTTGCAGTCCAAGCATGAGCTGGGATAGATCCCCCAGGAAACATAAGGAAAAAAATCTAATTGCTGCTTGACTGGAACAAGACTGTTCTAGAGGGTATAAACTTATGCCTCACCTGTATGTCAGAAGTCGCAGACATCCAGCCCTGGAAAATTTCCCGTCAAGAAGAACTTAAAACCTGGATATCCAAAGACATAGCTGAAGGCTTCAAGGCTTCTACAAAACACACTTCCTCTCAAAAATGTCACAGAGCTAAATCCTCTTCTCCCTCATCTGAATTTGAGCTGGACTCCTTCAAGGATATTTCTGACGAAGAGGAGGAGGATACGGAGTACGGCCCTAAATCCTTAGACTCCAAATCTGTTGAGAAGCTTATCATCCTAACAAGGAATACCCTAAAATTATAGGAAAAAAGACAGAATCCCTAGAATCCAACAAATATTTTGAAGACCTCAGATCTTCCAAACCCTCATTTCCAGTGCATCCTTCTATCAAGGATATGATCCTTAATGAATGGGCCAGACCAGAGAAGAAAGTAACCCTTAAAAATAAGAATCAGAGGAAATATCCCTTTGCCTCCAAGGATTGCAAGACTTGGACTGCAATCCCCCAAATAGATGCAGCTGTAATAAAAATTGCGAAACGTGCTATGTTTCCCATTGACTCCATGGCATACTTAAGGGAACCTATGGAGAAAAGACTGGATGCCAACCTAATAAAAGCCTATCAGCCTTACACCCAGCCATAGCTCTTACCACCCTGTCCAGAGCTATGAAAGTTTAGTTAGACAACCTGAAAGATGATATCCACAGAGGTGTAAGAAGAAAACACCTTCTGGACAACCTTTAGGCTCACAGCAGATTTCCGTTCTGAAGCATCCTTGGATATATCCAAGATAATTTCCAAAAGCATGGCATTATCTGTCTCAGCCAGAAGAGCCCTGTGGCTACACTCTTGGGGAGCTGACTACTCTTCAAAAGCCTCCCTTTGAACTCTTCCCTTCTGGGGTGATCTCTTTGGAAAAGTCCTTGATGAGGCCATCCAAAAAGCTGCTGACAGCAAGAAAGCTTTCCTACCTCAAGTGAAGAGAAACCCATACTCAACATCATGGAAAGATAAGAGGTTTTGTGACAAGTCCTTTCAAGACAATAGATCATATCGACCAGGAAAAGGCTATAACATCTTGTAGATCCTACCAGTCTCCTTCCTCTTCCTCTAAAACCAACAGAGGGAGAGGATCTAGAGTCCCTTCTAAAAACTTCTGAAGGTTTACAGGCCCATACAGAATAATTAGGAGGAAGACTTCAACATTTCTGTTCTCTCTGGGCCACGAATATTTCAGACGCATGGGTCATGTCCATCCTAGATTAAGGCTACGGAATTGAATTTGACTACTTTCCTCCAATCGACTCCTTCACAAAGTCAAGAAAACCCTTGGGAGAGAATGGGGAAGCCTTGATTGCAGGTGTCAAAAAACTACTTCTCCAAGGTGTCATAGAAGAGGTACCTCTTTCAAGAAGATACAAAGACATCTATTCAACAGTGTTCTTGGCCCCAAAACCCAATGGGAAATGGAGACTGATTATAGATCTGAAAAACACCAATGTGTTTCTGAAACGGCTATCATTCAAGATGGAATCCATATCCACTATTATTCCCAACATCAACAGAGGCGATTGGCTAACATCTTTAGACCTGAGGGATGCATATTACCACATTCCCATCTACACTTTCCATCACAAGTTCCACCAATTTCACACATTAGGACAGCATTTCCAATTCAGAGGCCTTCATTTCGGCTTAAGCCTTTCCCAAGGATCTTCTCAAAAATCTTACTGGTTCTAATAGCAAATCTAAAACAACAAGGTCTAGTCCTATTTCATTATCTAGATGACATATTAATCACACTATACAAGCGCTGAACTGTCTAAAAGAACACGGTTGGATTATCAACAAGGAGACGAGTTCTCTGAATCCTTCCCAAAACACAACTTTCCTGGGTGCCTACATAAACACCAAAGTAGCAATGGTCTTTCTATTACAAGAGAGGATAAGCAGACTGGAAAACAAGATTCTCTCGGTCCTCCCCCAATCTTCCATAACAGCCAAGGAGTACATGAGCATTCTGGGATCATTAACTGCAACTATAGGATTAGTCCGTTGGGCTCAATGGAACTCAAGAACAATCAAATAACATTTCCTGAGTCAGTTCAACATCAATTGCAGCAACAGGAATCAAATTATTCAAATTTCACAAACAGTAAAAGATCAGTTGGTATGGTGGCTACAGCGAGACAACCTAAAGAGAGGTTTTCCCTTAGAAGATCCACCTTGGAAAATTGTCACCACAAATGTAAGCATGACAGGTTGGGGTGCTCACATGGAGTCTACATAGATCCAAGGCACTTGGAACCCATCAGAAAGGTACCTTCACTCAAATCTGCGGGAATTGAGGACCATATACCTAGCACTACGGAGACTCCATGGGGCTCTCAAGAGCCCTGGGATATCCATATGGACGGACAACATAGCAGTGGCTGCATACATAAATCACCAAGGAGGCACAAGAAGCAAACTTCTCTCTTACGAGAAATTACTCCACTGATGTCCTGGGCACAAGTTCATATCAACGTGATGAAAGCGGCCTACCTCCCAGGGACGGAAAATATTCTGGCAGATTTTCTCAGCAGAACTTAAATACTACAAGGCGAGTGGAGCTTTAACCCCAGTGTGTTTCAGGCTCTCACGAAGAGGTGGTGCATACCCCCGGTAGACCTAATGGTCAACAGAAGGAATGTTCAGGTGACAAGCTACTTTTCCCTCTCCAAGGACCCTCTAGCTTTGGGTCAAGATGCCTTATGTGTATGTGTTCCCTCCCCTGCCTCTGATTTCTTGGGTACTGAAGAAAGAAGAAAAGAAGGTGATAACCATTATCCTGATCTGGCCAAGGAGACCTTGGTATTCCCTTTTCCTGAGAATGTCTCTGACCCATCCTTGATTACTTCCAATATCCCCGAACCTTCTCATCCAGGGTCCAGCAACTCACCCCAGCTCATCCAGCTGGAATCTGGGGGCCTGGCTATTGAAAGGGGATCCATACCCCCCCAATCCCCTTCTTTTTTTTTCTGTGCTTCCCTTCCCCCCCCCCCACTCACCGAAACGGACACTGTTGCTTAAAGAATATAACACGAGACAGGACAGGTTGAACTGACACCCCGCGCAGGGGGAATTAAAAGTATATTGTGAATGTAGGAACCAAAAATTTGATATCTGCACAGATTCTACTGATGAGAAGCCCTTGCTAATGTGTCAACAACTTCCCCACCCTTCTTTTCTTCTGTACCCCAAAAATCAATAAAAATTGTCAAATTGGAAAAAAAAGAAAGGGGATCCCTCCTTAACCAGGGCCTATCCAAAGCAGTGATTACTACTCTCCTGAAGGCAAGGAAATAGTCAACATCAGCCTGCTATAACAGAATTTGGGAAACTTTTGAACAATGAGCAGTGGCAAAGGCTTTTGATTCTCTACACCCTACAAACCTCCATTTCTGGAATTTCTACAGGCTGGCCTGGATAGAGGTCTCAGCCTCAGCACTTTGAAGGTGCAGTCTCAGCCCTTTTAGCCCTTTATAATACCTCAAGGGTGTTTCTCATCCTCTCATCTCAAAGTTCTTTAAGGCAGCATTACACTTG